TGATCCAAGCGGGTTCGATCGCACGGCAGGCAGGGCCGGGCAGGTACCCATGCTTGTCAAGTTGAAACTTCTTGGGGCTTCCCTAAACCCTAAACCCTAAACCCTAAGCCCTAAACCCCTTCCAGGGCACTGAACTCCTGGAGAAGGTGATGTAGCTAGAGCTAAGGGCTCCTTCAAGGTCTGCTCAGTCCTCTGAATGGGGTGAAACTGCCACATGCCCTTGCCAGGTTCATGAGGGTTTAGGGTTTAGGGTTTAGGGTTTAGGAGAAAGCAGTAAACTTAGCAAATTGAAACATCGTTGAAAAACGCCCCACACGAACAGTCTCGGGCGTTGTACTGTTGTAGCATTGCCTTGGAACCATGTGACTTCCCTGACTGCACTAACGCCCTCTGCCGGAAGGTAATCTGCACCTCTTGAACCATCTTGAACCTGTCAATCAAAAGGGTTTTGGGACTGTAAGGTTTCTACAAGGTTCTTCAGGGAGAGGGGTTCAGGGGAGATATGGAACCTTGGTCCCTTGTACTCCCCATTCCCTAGGTGCCTACCCCCCCCCCATGAACCCCCTCCCTTCAGAAGCAGGTTTAGGGTCCAAAAATTTCTGAGTCGGAGTGTCTTTGGGTGGCTTGTCAATGCCAACCCAAGCCGGTGTGGGCTTCAGCGCCTCGTACCTTTCTCAAGTCTGGGTTGAAGGCGGGTTGACGGTTTTCTACTACACTTGCTTAAGAACCCCACCAGAAAATAGAACCCCGCAAAAATGAAAATCTTCTTCCTTAATTGTGGGCACAAATCCTGAGGAGCCGATTTAGATTGGAGTTGGGGCGCAAAAAGCAACAAGAGCACTTGTTCCCCCTTTTCTAAGAGCTCCTTAATAGGGATTCTAGTACCCCCCTCCCCCCTATTACAATCCCCATTATATTAATGGACTTAGTATAAGGGGGAACATCCCAAAATCTGCCCAAGTCCCAACCTCACCTCTCATTAACCACGGATTAGGATGTTATACGCGCGACCTGCAAAGCGGTTTAGGGTTTAGGGTTTAGGGCTTAGGGTTTAGGGTTTAGGGTTTAGGGTTTAGGGTTTCGGTCACTCTCTTCTCGCCCATGCCCGGTGTCCCAAAACTTCAGGACGTTAGGGCTGCACCAGGATTTCAGTCCCCAAAAGCCCGAGGAACAGGAAACCGCAAGCAAAATGCCACATGTGGCAACCATCGCTACAGTGATATCTCGAATCTTCAGCTTCTCCTCAGCCCTCTAAAGGGTTCTTTCGCCACCCGCACTGCTAAAGGGTTCTTTAGGGCTTAGGGTTTAGGGTTTAGGGACTCAAAGTGCAACCCTCTCATTGTTGTGAACAGAGCGGCTCATGCCCAACCACCACCATCCGACACGGGCTCCATCCGGCCTTCGGCATTGGAGTTGCCGGGGCTTATATGGTGGATTACGAAAACAGGGGACCCCTAAACTGGACCCCCCAAATGGTAGGATTCCCTTATACCCCTTATAAGAAGGACCCCCCAGTAAGGTACCCCTAATTTGGGAAACCCCCCCTATAGGATTGGAAAGGAGTGATTGAGACGGGCATCCCAGTCCTCGGCCTTCTTTAGGGTTTAGGGTTTAGGGTTTTATTGGAGCGAAAACTGGCCTCCAAGGATGTTGGTCTATTGTCCTGGCGCATTTCCTTTTTGTACATTCAAGTTGAAAACGAAGGGTTTCGTGCTCAGGGTTGGGGGCTTTCCGAAGATTCGCCGAGATGGAGGTGGTTCAAGGTATAAAACAGAGTTGGGGCTTGCCGTGAGGGGGGGGGGGTGTATGGGTGGAGGCCGCCCTTCTCACCCTTCTCTCTCTCTCTCTCTCGCTCTCATTCTCGCTCTTTCTTTCATGTGGCTAAGGGGTCCCATGTATGGGAAGTGTCGGGATCTGATTGGCGGTCTCAGATTTTTGGGTTTAACCGTCGGCTTCGGGTTTAATCCGAGCAGCTGTTTAATTGGTGCCCCCCCCCCCCCCCCCCCCCCCCCGCAGAAAGGCAGGGCGCCCCAATAATGAGACCACGGCAATGTAATGATTCTCTATTAAAAAAAATAGGCTGCAGATCCCTGAGGTGCTGTAGCTTCGCAGCTCAGCAAGCAAACTGCCGACAGATTTTTGACGCCCCCTCCCCCCCCCCCGCCCGTTTTTTTGTTTTTAATGTGGTGGTATTGGCCCATACGAAAACCCCCGCAATGGAAAGTAGTCTTCCGGCGGGCTTCTCGACGAACAAAAATCTTCAAATGTGGAGGTATAAGTCCTTGGGGACGAAATGAACCCTAAAAGGGTTTATGGTTCATATACCTTAATAGGAATTATAGTAGTAATGGGTATCTGACCCCAATTTTAGAGTTCATGTGGTCCCCAAGGGTCAGACAGGTGCTCGGATTTAGGGCTTCGTAACTTTCTGACAGCCCCTGCCCAAGCCCAAGACCGGCTTGGCTTTCGGGATTACCCTAAACCCTAAACCCTAAACCCTAAACCCTAAACCCTAAACCCTAAACCCTAAACTGCCTGGTGCTGTACCCAGCCCGCGCCCGAAGGATCGAGGGCAACCTGCTCCACGACTTCGCCGTCCTGCACGCAGCTGCGGTGCTCTTGGGTTTAGGGTTTAGGGTTTAGGGTGGAGGGTTTCAGGTTTAGGGTTTCGGTCGGATGCTATCTTCCCAGGCACAACTTAAAGCACTTTGCTAGCTAAAGCTGCGGAGAGGGCCGTATAAATCTGCAGAGGAGTGTGGAATAAGGGAATAGGAACCGCCAACATCCCAAGGTCAGCTGCCCTTAGGGTTTAGGGTTTAGGGTTTTTGGGTTTAGGGTTTAGGGTTTAGGGTTTAGGGTTTAGGGTTTAGGGGGAGCAGACCCCCCCCCCCCATTTGCAAACACAATGCTCGCGTGACATGATGGTCTTGGAAAGGGCTCATACAGTCACATGGTTTTGAAGGATTATGCCATTTTCATGGTGTCATCTCTTTTTAATTATTAGTCAAATTACAGATGTATTTCGTGGTATATTTCTTAGCTGTATAAAGTGTACGTATTTTATACAATGTATTATAGGTAAATGTACATACACAAATCTGTTGCTTCATGCATATATGTATAATATTCTGTACCATGCAAAACATACCGTACAACATGTGCTTCTGACAATTGTAGGTTGTGTTTTTGGTGCATAAAAAGGTTTTGGTATTATATAACGTATTCTATATCTATTCAAAATTGTGAAATTCCATGTTGTTTATGCTCGATTTTAGATAGTATCTATATACATATGTATAAACCCACAAAAAAGTAATAACAATGAAAAATAATATACCTTTTCACGTGCTTCCAATAAGTTCGCTCTCCAAATTCATGGAAGCATTGGCGATGCCAATAATTTATATAATTCATATACAATATGCATACTATACATGATATGTTCGGTACTTCGTGCTTTCGTGAAACATTACAGACTAGATTTTGGTATTGAAATGATGCATCTTGCATGTCTGTTGTATAGGGTACCTTATTGGGGTCCTGATTCTACATTGAGTCTTTTGTTCTCGTACAGCCCCATGTCAAGTCGTGATGGCATACGTAGGTATCGAACAGTTGAGAAAGCATCAGACATAAGCAGATAAGCATCACAAAGCAGTTTGCGAGGTTGTCTGAGATGAGCTAAGGGAATCGTGCATTCAATCGAGACTCATCCAAAGAAACCAAGGTACATAGCAGGCGCAGTTCTAGGTTCATGCAAAGCATTGGCGACACCAATTGGGCACTCGGACGTATAGTTCCAGCAACCATGGACATTTGGGAGTTGTCCATGAACTTTGAGAGCGAATTCATGCAAAGCATTGCTAAAACCAAGGTTTCCTTTTAAACGGTGCAGAAAGCTTTCAAAAGGCTTTTTCGCAAGTTGCGTAACCTCTAACAGCCTGCCACGCCACGCCCCACTAAACCTTAGGCTCACCTTCATGGCGCGTCGACCCTGCGACTCGCGGGAGGGCGCGGCGTAGACAGGCCAGGCCTGCCGTGAACTATATCAGAGCGCTTGGGGTTAGGTTTGTTTAAGCTGCAATTCAAGCGTTCTGCGTTTAGAGCTTCAATGCTCTGTGGGGAATGCAGGGCTGGAGAAGCACAATTGAATGATTGGACTGACTGCTTGAAACCATGAATGGAAGCAAAGGTCTCAGTGGAGCAAGGTAATTACTTGGCTGCAAGCCTTCCACTTGCAGATGTGTGGGTGCATGAGGCAGCCGTGTGGGTCCCAGTTTCTGCTTTAGGGTTTATGGTTGAGGGGAGTCTCAGAAATTCAATCTCCTGGAGGGTCGTTCCTGAAGGTGTGTAGCAGCAGTGCTACCGATCTACAGAGCAACGTTTAAAGCTCAACCCTCCAGACCTACCATGCACATCTGGCACGATCAAAAGTGCAAGCCCCAAACCTAAACCCTAAACCCTAAACCCTAAACCCTAAACCCTAAACCCTAAACCCTAAACCCTAAACCCTAAACCCTAAATCAGCCTTTCAAGCTTGCAACCGCAGATCCTCAAAACAAAACTCAGCATCAAGTCCGGCCTTCACTGCCTTGGGGAGTTTCACCTTCCGTGGGTTTAGGGTTTAGGGTTTAGGGTTTAGGGTTTAGGGTTTAGGGTTTAGGGTTTAGGGTTTAGGGTAACGAATAACCCGACCGCCGTCACCGGATGCTCCAGCAAATGGCATGTTTAGGATTTAGGGTTTAGGCTCTATTTCAGCATGCAAATCGCTAGATGCTTCTACACCACAAGAACGCCACAGTTGATCGTCGTACATCGTCCTGACCGAGCTGAAAAAGCGTTTAGCCGGATGCCAAGGTCTTCAAGATATTTTACAAGCTTACAGACTGGGAGTATGCGGATGATCCAAATCTGGTTTTGCTGCGCTTGAGGTTCGGACATAGGTTAAACCTCTGTCCTTAGGCCTGCGACATGTCATACTCTGCATGCCTGGCCTGCCA